ATGCATATTTAGGACCAATAAACTTTACAACCGTGGTGCTTTACGTATTCGTAATTATGTTTATGTGGTGTGAAGTACTGTTATTTAGTGGCTGCGACAGAAGTGACTTGCAAAGAAGAAGAGCTGAAATAAGTCAACGAGGATCAAATTGAAATCTCTATTCACAAAGCATTTTCAGTAGTTTATGTTTGAATAGAAAACACTTTATACTATAACTCAAGAAATTTGATTAACGGCATATCCGACGAAAATTTACGTGAGTTTTAACCGTCAAAAATAAATAAGTGTCGTACGTAAACATAACTCGTACTAAAAATAACGTACGCAAAGCTACAAAAAAATTCACGTAAAACCCAAATAAGTATAAACAAACTTATACAAAGTATAAGTATAAGCGATATAAACAGATATACATAACATAAAAATCACGTACAATCATGCAAACAACTATGTAAAAATAAATAATTTTGTTTTCATAATATTTATTTATTATTCATATATTTAGAAGGAATATGTTTAAATTTATGTTAATTAAGTTATATAATTTTTAAGGTCAAATTTTGAAGAAAAAAAATTTAACATAACTAAACAAAGTGAGGATTAAATTAGGGTTGAAAACCCATATACGTCAAGAATGAAATTCATTAAGAAAACACAAACTAGTCTATCTCGAAAATAGCCCGTCATTAGCAGTGACGTTCATAGTCTATTTTGAGTCGAATTTCTTTTTTCTAAGAGAAAATCAACCGAGGGGGTAAACAAATTGTTATCGCCAGCTCTTTTCACAGATTTTCGATGGGTGTTAATTTTAAAAATGGGCAATAACAAAAAGAAAATAGAGAAAGAGAGAGAAAAAGAACCACATGTATTAAACGAACGTCCTTGGGACCTGACCTTTAGACCTGATCTTGTTACATCATTTTTCTCATCGTGTAATACTTTCACCGGAGGCTGGTGTTTTTTTCCCTCTTATCGGGTGCTGTCACCGTTCAACCGTAGCATAACTTGTTGTAAAACATAAGCACAACAGCCGTCTTTCATTTTGATGGCTTTCAACACTATTTAACTTTTTATTATGACAGACTGTAAATTCGTTCGAGGAGGGGAAGAGAGTGAGAGAGATAGATTGACAGATAGAGAGTCAGTGAGTGAATAAGGGAGAGAGAGTGAGGGACGGAGTGAGAGAGAGAGAGAGAGAGAGAGCGAGAGAGAGAGAGAGAGAGAAAGAGAGAGAGAATGTGTGAGTGAATGAGTGAGAGCGAGAGAAAAACAGAAAGAGAAAGGGTGAGAGAGCAAGTAAGTATAAGAGAAAAAAGTGAAGGAGTTAATAAAAAAGGAGATGGATAAAATGAAAATTGAAAAGCAAGAGAGATTGTGTGAGTTAGAGAGAAAAAATAAGAAAGGGTGTGAGAGTGAGAGAGAGAGAGAGAAAGAAAAAGGGAGAGAAAGAGGCAGGAATAGAGCGACAGAATAAGAAAAAGTGAGAGAGTAAGTAAGTGAAAGGGAAAATGGATGAAAAGAGAGAAAGGGGCGAAGGTGGTCGCAACGGTTTAGGCGTTGACACGGCGCTCATCACTGTAAGGTAAAGGTCCCGGGTTCGAATCCAACGGCCCTGCATTCGAACCCGACATACTTACAAATGGGCTTTTTTTTCAAAAACAACTGCACCTTGAGGCTTTATATGACCTCTGCTGTTGCAAACCCTCGTTAAAAAAAAGAGAAGGATTTAGTGAGAGAGGACGGATAAAAAGGAAGTGGAAAAGGAAGAAAGAAAGAGATTGTGTGAGTTAGAGAGAGAGAGAGAGAGAGAGAGAGAGAGAGAGAGAGAGAGAAAGAGGAGAGAGAATGATAGAGAGACAGAATGTGAAAGGGTGAGAGAGTAACTAATTGTAAGAGAATGGGTAAAAAGAGAGAAGGAGTTACTTAAAGATGGATAAATAGGAAGTAGAAACGCAAGCGAGAGAGATTGTGTGAGTCAGAGAGAAAGAGGGACGTGAGAAAAGAGAGAGAGAGAGTGAGAGAGAACGGAGGGAGAAAGAGAAGAAGTTAGAAAATGAAAATGAAAGAGAGAGAGAAAGAATGATAGAGTGAGCTAGGGAGAAACAGGGAGAAAGAAAGTGAAGGAGTTAGAGAACGAAAGAGAGAGAAAGGGAAGAGGTTAGAGAATGAATGTGAGAAAGAAAGAGAAGAATTCAAAAGAGGAAAGAGAGAGAGAAAGCAAGCAATAGAGAGAATGAGGGACCTAACAGACACAAAAACATAATAGATAAACACACACGCTGAATACAAAAGCATTGTTTTTCATAAAAGAACCCAAGATTTTTTCGAAAACACACTAGCTAAGTTATGAATACGCACAGAAGCAAAAAAACCAATTAGATGGCACGTTCACACACAATACTATAAAACGGATAAGACGCGAGGGCTTATAATAATAACTGGCATTCCCAATAATAAATAAACACCCCCAATGTCAAAGCTATAAACAAAATATGTACAAACAAGACAGAATTTCATTCACAAAAACGCCTACGTTCACGTTAATCACCCTTTATCATTGCTATTCTCGAGTGATTAAAACTGTTATCTACTAGGGAAAGAATATTAGTAAATTTTTTAAATTGGTCAAACGTATCAGTCGCAACGCACGTACGCGCGCGCTAACGCATGTTGATCTCAGTTACTCTACTTGTCACGCACTTACGTACACACGATGTTTGTATGGTTAAAAGTATAACTGTCAATAAAAAAGGTTATAGATTGACGAACAGTCTCTTTTCCTGGGGATATCTCTTAGAACTCTGATGGGCTTTGTAATCTTCTTAGCCGCCTTCTTTTGAAGTATGCAAAGCCGGGTAAAACCCAAAAGTTTCTATTAAAAAAATCCCGGGTTTTGGTTGTTTTATGGGCAGAATAGAATTCAAAATCCAATATAACTGTGCTCTTGTGTGTTATTTACGATCTTTAAGTTGAGTTAAAAAGTTAGAAGAAACGATCACAATATGCAAAACATTATTCTCAACATTTTTCACTTTTCAATTCTATATTTTATATATCCACAGTAGAAGTTTTTTTTTAATTCGAGCGCATATTTATTCAATTTTTTTTAAAAGTTTATGGGGTGAATTGAAAATTTATCCGTGAGTAAAAGGTCACGTTAATAAATACTCCTTGATTCAACGATAAAATACATAAAAATTCAAATTTTCACAGATTGGTATTTTAATTTAGGTTTGCGTTTTGAAAAAATCCAAATTTATAAAATTCCCCTTGTATAAGAATGCCCATCTCGATATTTTAGCGGAGGAAACTCCATGATTAATTAGCTTTAGGTGTGGTTTATGAAGTTGCTTTTCTGGAAAATTGGTTCACGACACCAATTAGCTTATGACTTTTTAATGTATAGCGTTCTGTCATCCGCTGACTATTACGAAATGATTCTTAACTGCAAGAAGCGTAGAATTTGAAAAAATCACCATAAGTTACGACAGGCTAATCATTGGAGATATAGTTTTTATGTTTATTCTAGGAATAAGTAAATTTTGGACCCTTTAGAATATTTAAAAAATGCAACAATTTAGGTACATCTTAGATCAATTTTTAAATTACATTATGCTTACATGAATTAAAACCAAATGTTCGTTTTGTGAAAATTATTTTCTATATTCATTATGTTTAGTGGCTTAATTGACCAAATCACTTCTTTCAATTAATCTTTTTATGTAAGGTCGAGATGAAAATGTTACTGTCACGAGTGGGATTTGAATCCACGACCTTCGGCTCAATACGCCACTGCTACTACTTGAGTCATGTGAAGTCACTCGAAGACACGATAGCTCAAGTAGAGCAGCGGCGTATTGAGCCTAAGGTCGTGGGATCGAATCCCGCTCGTGACACTAACTTTTTCATCTCGACCAAGACTTTACATAAAATGATTTATTTTCTATGTTTATACATTTTTTGCACTCCTAGGTGAGTTCACAGCAAAAAGGCGCCGTATTGTGTAAATATAGAAACGTGTAAAAGGCACGAATACCGAAAATATTATTGCTAGATTTATGCATAATAATTAAATATTTTTGTGGGGTAAAGTTTTCAGTTTTTGTTTGTGCGAAGTTATTATCGTTTCAAGCATATTAAGTGGTTTGTGGTTCTTTCGTGAGTATTTTCTTTGGTTCTAGCGATTGGGAAAATAGACAACCAAAACAGACCTTATGTATTCGGGATAATTGCAAAATGTTAAATTAAGCCTGGAAAACTTACGGTTTGAAAATATCTGGTTGCTCCAAATGTAAACTGTTGTTTTTAAAAGGTGCACAAATTCCTTTCTGAAATCGTTGAGTTTCTTTTTTGCCGCGCCGACTCCGGGTGACTCGAGTTCGTGCATTTTCCTCCGTCAGAAAACGCCACTCTAACACACCCGATGAGCTCTAAAGAACTGCCCACTTTTAATTTGGCCTTTCAAAAAATGCCAATTAGGGGGAAAAGGACGAGTCTCGACGTTCGACAACTGGAGGGGTTGTTTTCCAATCGCGATCCATTCAGTGTGGACGGCTAAATCGCCCTAACAGCGTTGTCGTTTACCGGCGTATCTGCGATATCTTAACTACTTTTACAACAACGTAGATTTTTCTTGATTGATAAAAAAATAAATCTCTTATGAAGCGCTTGAATACATATTTTACAAATTTTATATTCTTGCTCTTTGTTAAAAATAATATCCTACTGAAATATAATTTAATACGAAAAAAATAATAATTTGAAAAATGCAAAAAGGAGGGAAAATTCAAAAGGTGAGTTGAGATGGGAAGTTGGTATCCGAGTGGATCGAAGACACGATAGCTCAAGTGGTCGAGCAGCGGCGTTTTTAGCCGAAAGTCGTGGGTTCGAATCCCGCTCGTGACACTGACTTTTTTATTTCAGAAGATTTTCTTAATTTAGAATTAAGAAAATACCCTTCTCATATAGTATTTTTTACGATAGTTAATCGAACTACTCACTATAATTGACTTGTCCATCCTGAGAAACTAGCATCTGCAACGGCGTTTTGTCGGCGTTGAGGGAAGGGCCGCGCCTGACGGGAGGGACTCCGAACAGCCTGTTTTTAGCCGACTGTCCCACCCTCAAGTACTGCTTCGTATAACCCATCGCCTCAGTGCATATCTGAAAACATAAAAACAAATGAAATGAAATAAACAACGAGAAGATCAGTGGGTAATAAATATCTGTACTGTTCACACTGATTAGGAGAGGAGGTTAACGCACAGTATATTTTTTTATGGAAAGTGTGTTTAAAATTATATTATATTCGATGTTTTTTTGTATACTTTAACTCTTGGATAAATGAAAATACAGTTGAAACATTCAAATCGGGATAGTAGGATTTATGTGTGTGGGTTTGAATTGGATTGATTGTAGGATTTCACGGGGGCAGCGATTGTACATTTTTTTTTTCTCTAATTAACTAGGAAAATCTCTGTACTTAAAGAGGAAGAATTCTGACGGAAAAAAATCAAGGTGTATCTCAAGGGTACAGGTGCCCGTACTGTGCCTCCTATGAGCAACCTTCTACAATCGACGAATGCATCAACGGCAATGTTTGCAGAAAATGCAGCAGGATGGATAGAAAAATATATCAGTTAAAGAAATGGAGGAGAAATTAGAAAATTAAACTTATGAAAGCGAAATCAGTACAGTTTACTTGACCACCAAGAAGGTAACAAGTACAGCTTCCTTACGTCATCTCAAAGGTATTTTAGTACCTAACTCTTCGGCTATGGCGCTGAACGCTTTTGACATACTGACACGATTGTAAAGTTAAATAGAACGCCGATGTTCTCGTTCCTATTTACCAAAGAAAACTTTTGTGGTTAAACAGGAGAAATTCTGACTTGGAAAAAAAAGTTGTATCTCAAGGGTACAGTTGCCTGTACTGTGCCCCCTGCGAGCTACTTTCTATAATCCACCAATGCATGTGGAGCTGTTGAGCAATGTTTGCAGAAAATTTAGCAGGAAGAACAGAAAAACCTAAATCAGGTGAAGAAATGGACGAAAAATTGGACGATTAAGCGTTAAAAAAAGCGGAATCAGATGGTTCGTTCTATGAATAATAAGATAACACTCATAGCTTCCATCCTTAATCTCAAGATCTTTTAGGTCCTAATTAATATTTAAATAAATCTGCTATGGCACTGGACGTTAACTTTATATGAAAATGGTACCGAAAGAACATAATTTGATCTTAACCATGAAAAGCAGTGACAATTCATGTTATCCTACTGTTTTGATTACCAGCAAGCTCCAATTTAAAAGGGGGTATTAAAAGTTTTTAAATTGTATTGATATGGTAAATGAACCATGAACATCTGGATATTTGACGTATCCAGAATTCCAACTATTAAAGCTTCAAGCATCATAATTTACAAGAAATCCAGCTAATGGATAACCAAGGCCTGTTGATTCTTCTAAAGAGGACCATTCCTTTTTAATGAAAGGAATCTCATGAAGAGCCTTTTAATTAAAACGACAAACAAGTAAATAAGTATGTCAGCCGATATTATGTAACAGAACTATGCCGATTGGATTCTTCCTTTAATGACGGTTTTCTCTTCTTCCAAATCATCTATTAGCTCGAATGTGAATTTCCACTGTCGGAATTTAAAAAACACATTAGGAAATCTTCGTCACCCTGTTTCTATTACATTTCTAATGCTCATTGCGTGATGATGATCGTTAAGTGTGTCAGCTTGAACATTGTTAAACTCCTTGCGCCATCGAGATATCATTGTGTTAAAATAGAGAACGGAAGTGTTGGCCTATGTAATAACCATCGTCACGGCGATCAGCATCTCTCTCCCACTTTTTCTCTCATCGCTGATCAATTTATAATTTTTTAGTTATAGTCGGTGGAGAAGAATCGAGAACATTTGATTTCTGCTTTCTTTTTTGAAAACAAAACCGCCCTAGGTTATATTTAATAGGTCGTCTATTTTATCAACAGGCAACTATTTTTAACCAAAAGCGGAATGCAATTTCTTTGTTTGCTTTATTGAACAATTTTAAATTTGTTCAAAATCCATTATATTTAGTGATATATTGACCAAATTACTTCTTTCACAATTAATTAATCTTTTTATGTAAGGTTTTTGGTTGAAATGAAAAAAAGGATTTAATAAGTAAAACGAAGTAAACTTCACTAACAGCCCCTCGTGGCCACTTAATATGTCGCCGAGAATCGAATCCTGATTACACGACATATGAAAAATGGCAAAAAGGAAGGAAAATTCGAAAGGTTGCAGGTTGAAATGGGGAGTTGGTCTCCGAGGGGTCGAAGTCACGATAGCTCAAGAGGTAGAGCAGCGGCGTATTTAGCCGAAGATCGTGGGTTCGAATCCCGCTCTTGACACTAACTTTTTCATTTCGACCAAAACTAAAAGGATTAATTTGTTGTTGTTTATTTAAAAAAGTAACTCCCCTACAGCCTATTTCCAAGACTGGTATATGTTGTAGCAAAGAACAGTTATACAATACTTCACTATTTTATTGATTTTGTAAGCAAATTCACCACTTTTTTTAAATATTGACATCAACAAATCAAACTCTATTAAAATCCATGATTATTGAAGTGAAACTATTACATACCAAACACCAAGAATTTCCTAAACAAATTAATAACGAATATTAAATAATTAATAGCGAAAAGAAATAGATTAACAAATAAAGCGAGATTTGGCAGACCAGGGATGAACTGAAATGCCTTAGTCATGCCACAGATTACATTCGTCCTACATATGTTGAATTCGAAATTCTACAACCGTCAATATTATTTATGCTAGCTATCCACCATGACGGTAGTATGTGTATAGGTTTATTAAAAAAAAGTATATGTAATGTGTGCGGGCTTCCTAGTAATTTATTGCCCCGTCTGATTAATTCATTCTTCCAATATGCAATTTCCAAGCCTATATATTATACCGTGACCCACATTGAATAATAAAAACTAAAATTTATGTTGTACACACCGAGGAAAAGGAACGGGTCTAACGATTCCGTTTCTGTACAGTAGTTAAGGGGAAGGGTCAAGAATTTTACTGATCTTGATGCACAGAATAGTCGAGACCATGCTAAACATCTACGAGAAACAAAAAGATATGCCTAGGAATTTTTCTAGGCTGTGGACTGAGTGTGGATCATAGGATTATTACATAAACTCAGGGCTCATCTACCAGACCTAATCCAAACTGATCACCAACTACATCACAGGCCGAGCAGTAAAATATCGGAACTCCCTCTACAACACTTACGGTGTTGACTCTGAAGTAATACAAGGCAGCGTGCTAGGGCCTTTTCTTTACTCTATACGTAAGTGACGACGTACTGACGAAAACGCCTCAATAAACCAATTATTAAACGACGTAGCAGCCCTGATTTCGGGTAGAACTTGTGAAGAACGTATGGAGATCGATGTAAAAAAATACTTACTTCATTAACCCTCTTGTGAAATGCACATATGAAAAAATCAGACTCCACTATTACTCTTGCTGAACAACCTATTCCACGCAAGGGAAATGTCCGTTATCTAGTATTAAACTGGCTGAAAACCTATCAGCCACGCACGTTAAAACACAGATAAAAAATAAGGCACAGAACACATTGCATCTAACTTCTTGTTCCGCAAGCTACCTCTAACTCATAATTAAAAGACTGCTGTGTCACTCGTTCGCCCCATTTTGGAATAACCCTGTGGCTATGGATCTCAGCAGCATAGTCTCACCTGCGGTGAGTACATACAACCCAAAACATAATCTTAAGCATGATATTTTGCGCAAAACGTTTTTTACGCAATACAACACTCCATGTTGACCTCAAAATTCCTACTATTACCATCCTAATCAAAGAGTCCTGTTAGAAGCTTATTGCAATGTTAAACAAACATGCAACAAATTACAAATGGTGCAAGGTCCTTGCAACACCAGAAGGGTTAAAAAAGCTAAAATTGGAGAAGCATTTAGTTAATTGGTATAAAGGAAATGCTAGGTTAAACATATACAAAGTGGTGGATATTTCTACCCGCCATAGGATGAACTATGTATGTTGTAGTGTATAACAAGCAGTCCTTTTTATGTTGAGCAGTAATCCCCTGGGACTAATGAGTAATTGCCAAAGAAAAAATTATTCCACGGAACTCATGGGTTTCTTCCCTACCGACCATCTAAATAAAATTTCTGAGTAGCTACTGGCCCGATACAAAAACATTTTAGCGTAGCATGCCGGAATTTGTTTCTTTTAATTGTAGACGTTTTATGACCTCACAGAAATGAGTCGAAAGGCGCTTGTCCTTGTTTAATCCTCGTTGGTGGTGACTTCCTTTACAAATTAATATAACATTCCCACCAGATTCAAAGTTGATAATCACTCGCTTAATGAAACTACGGTGAGAAGCTCTCCGCCCTGGGTGGTCTTGTTTAAAATTGTTTCCGCACCGCGACAACAAAAACCACCGTTTTTTAATAAGCTGATTAACACTTGGTTGTTGCCGATCATTTTGTTCCTATCACAGAAACTAAACAGGCTCTCTGAAAATGGCACAAAATGCCAAAGCCCGTCTGACAGACCAATAAAACTAACTAAATGATCAGTAACGGCCATATTACACCATAATATTCTTTTACCCGCGCCACTTTCTCCTGAGTTGAGTAAATTTTGAACTAAGTGATTGCCAGCGATTAACAAGAAATTTGTTTTAATTAGATAATTAAGTAAATTGTACGAGAATCCATTTAAGCAGGTGGTGCGTTGTTTTTCCTAGGGTTCGTCGAAAAATGCACCACCTTGTATAATCACGTGTGGGTAATTCTAGGGCAGCCATTGCGTTTGTAAACTAACGCAAATAGCATGTTCATTAAATCATTTTCATTTTCAAAGTTAATTAAGTAATTCATGCATTTTACAAACGTACTTCCTAGACTCCATATGCATCATCATAATGAAATATCGTTATTGCAAGCTCAACGCTTTACATTTTCATAAATAATAAAGTTATCTTATTTATTTAATTTAAAATACCGAAATTAAACCCATTATTTATTTTCAAATCATCCCGCACGATCATCACGTCGGGTTTCGGATTGCCTCCTTTGCCAAAAGGTTGTGAAGCCTTGTTT